TTCTATCGATCTCATCAAGATCCACAACATTAGAACTTGAAATTGGCTGTATAAAATAAGCAGGTGTTAAAGGTTCCAAATATTCAGCCTTGTCATCGTTTATAAAAGTAAGTGGTCGTCCATTCATAGTAGCCTCGCAGTCACATATAATGGTATGTAACTCTTCATGTGAAACTGCTGCATTACCTAAGACTCGACGAAGTAAGTCTTTCATTATCCTAATTAATCGCTCCCAATAACCGCCCCACCATGGAGCTGCGGGTGCGTTCATTTTCCACGTGATACGTTTCACGGTAGAATATTTTTGTATGTCATTCCAGTCTAATTTAGCCATTAAATTCTTCGTGCCGTGAAAATTTGTTCCTTGGTCGGAGTTAAGCATATTAATTCGCCCACGTCGCGCTATGAATCTTCGCAGAGTCATTATAAAATCTTCTGTCGATAGTGATATCGCGATCTCCAAATGAACAGCACGATAGACGGCACATGTGAATAAGACAATCCAGCACTTTTTGCCATTTCGTAAAAATAATGGACCTGCTAAATCGACACCAGTCGTCTGAAAAGGAGCTGAGCATGTCACGCGCTCCAGAGGCAATGGTGCAACACGAGCTATAGTTGGCTTCGCTTTGTGTCTCTTGCAAACAACACAGGACATGATAACCTGTCGCACGAGCCTTCGTATGCCAATGATCCAAAATCTAGACCGAATATCTGCAATAAGTTGATTTGCACCAGCATGTTGTAAATGAAGGTGACGTTGTCTCACTAACATAAGTACAACTGGATCTCTCGCTGGTAATAAATATGGAGATTTCATAGACTCGGGAAAATCTGATAATAACAATTTCGTTTTAATTCGAACCACTCCGTCACTGTCTTTAAATGTTACTAAATTTCCTGAACATTTATCTAAGTACTCCTTGTTTACCAATTGTATAAGTTTTATAATAAACTCTTCGGCCTTTTCGAATTCTTTTGATGTTAATTCTCCTTTCCGTTTATTATCAATATTTTTAATATTATATGCAAATCTTAGTACCCAAGCAGTCATTCTAATCGTCTTTAAATATATTGAAAAATATTTCTGCAATCTACAAATAAAATTCTCATCCGTGTTTACATTTATATTACAAACTGTCTTTTTTGTTTCAGCAAGTACCTCTCTTTCGTTTACGACTAACTCCGAGTGGGGCCAGTCTGCTGGTGTTAATCGTAACCATGACGGTCCTTCCCACCAGCGACATTCAAATAACTTTTTCGCGTTACATCCCCTAGATGCCAGGTCAGCCCAATTTAGTTCTCCTGGAACATGGTACCAGTCACAAATATTTGTGTTTGGCCGAATTTCTTTCACTCTGTTGCCTACAAATGTGTTTAGAGAAAGCTCGCGTTTTACCCAACACAAAGCAACTTCAGAGTCTGTCCAGCAATATTCGGAACAGTTAAACAGTTGTAAACTATCTCTGACATTAGCCAGTAGTCGAGATCCTATCAATACAGCAGTGAGCTCTAGTAATCGAGGTATAGTCATATTTTGTGACGGGGTTACCCTCGATTTAGCGGCCACTAACTGAACTGACACCTACTTATCCTTCTCAGACCTTAATAAGACACAAGCACCATATCCTCTTTTACTAGCGTCACAAAATAAATGAAAACTAATACTACATTCACTCAAAATATCTACCGACAACCGTCTCGGTATAGAACATTCACCTATAAAATTTATATATTGATACCAGTCTTGAAACTTCGTAAACAAATTTGAGGGTAATTTTTCATCCCATGGTATCTGTCGTTGCCACGCCTCTTGCAGAAGAAGTTTAGGCGTCAAAACAACTGGGGATGTGTAACCAATCGGATCAAATATCTTTTGAGCCACAGACAAAAGTTTACGCTTTGTGAGTCCTTCAATTTCACTGAATGTAGGAAGACTACTACAATTGCAACATAACTCATCCGTCACTACATTCCAATTCAAACCCAAAATAGAAATCACACTCTTACCAACCTCATTTAGCCCTTCAGAAGATACCCACATTCTAAGATTAAACTTACCAACTTGCATAATCCTTTTGGCTTTAGAAACTACCTTAACAGCCTCATCTTTTGTATCGACACTAATCAAACAGTTATCAACATAAAATGATTTATTTAATAGTTTCGCTGTACCACCTAATGATCCATTCTCCATATAATTAAGGTGATATTGTAATGTAGCTGATTGAGAATAGCCTTCTCAATGTCAGCTGTCATCCCTATGACTCCGACTCTAAAACTATTGATTAAATTGGGTATTTTATCAATTAAGTTATTACCCTTTTCTAGACACTTATTAAGACTAAGACCGTTTTTATCGGTAGCTGAAGCATCAAAAACGGGTCGAATACTCGTCGTGAGACTTTGCTCTTTTATCACCGGCCTATGTGGTAGGTAATGTCCACAGTTAATAGTAGTATTTTCCGCTGGTTCAATAATTCCTAACTGCAACCACATTTTGAAAACATCGTCATATAACTGATATTTTCCGCTTGCAATCAACCGTTTAGTCATTGACTCTAACCGTTTATTGGCTTTCTCAAAATTCGGAGTTAAATCATCAAAATTCGTCTTAAATGGTAAATTAACTTCATACCTGCCATCGTCCAATGTTTTTATATTCTCTCGGAAAGTCATTAAAGTATCAGCGACAATTTCCGTTTTTGATTTTACCTCCGCTGGGTCTCTAATCCCAAGTGTCTCCAAAGACCAAAATTCTGTCAAATTATTATTATCACATGAGCAATAAAGAACAGATAAAACCTTATCAAATGAATTATTTATACTCACCGGTTTGCCCTGTAACGCCCAACCCAAGTTGGTTTTAATTGCGACTAGACCATCCTCCAGCTGAACTATAGTACCTGTTAACAGAAATCCTAAATAGTCCGCACCTATCAACAACCCAATGTCTGAGATGTCACCCTTGTCTGTCAGGGAGATATTATGTCTGACAAGCATATTTTTAATATTCACATCTCTAAAATTAATTTTTGGTATGTTATTACAAATAGTATTTAAGCTTATAACAGATACAACTATACTAAATGTATTCTCTAAGGAATTCAACTTAATATTATATACGTTACGGTCTTGCGATTCAGTTTCATGTCCACCAAATAATGAAAAGGCTAACTTTTCCTTCGTTAAAGGTATCATACCTAATTTCTTTACAATATCTTCTCGTATATATGTGCGTTGAGAACCCGAATCAAGCAAAGTACGTACTCGTAATTTCTTACCACCACATTCTACTGCCACTATAATAGTTTGTAACAGAGTCTGTCCCTTTGTAAAAATGCTGGAAGAAAGCGCAGCGGCCTCATCTGACTTTCCTGAAATTACTGGGTTTCTCTCAGTCCTCTGATCTGTACATAAGACCGTAGAGTGGCGTTTCGCACAAATGAAACACTTGACGATCACTCTGCATGCTTTAGGATGATGACCCTTTCTAAGACAAATGGCGCATGCTTTTTTGTCTTTTAGCATCTGGCGTCGCTGTTCCAATGACATTTTTTGTATTTTATAACATTCGAGGCTTCCATGTGTGCTTTTGTCGCACCATACACATACGAGTTGTTTTTGTTTTATGTTTGATATGAGACATTCTGCAGTACTTGGTTTTCCAATTGACAAATCTTTTTGTTCCTTATTATTAAATGTTTCCCTTGACATAAGAATTCTTTGCTCACTTGCAACTTCTTTCTTCAAAAACTCTAACAAATCTGTTAATTCTTCGAATAAGTCTTTTGTCTTCTGCTTGTTTCTTTTCCATGTTCTAAGAAGCTCTTGGGGTATAGCAGATTCTACCAATGGTAATAAGATCGCAGCATAATTTTTAATAGTAAGACCTAGAGTTTCAAGCGCACGCAGTTGAGCGTTTAACTTATCGTACAAATGAGTTATTGAATCTTTCTTGTCTACTAGAATGATTCCCAAAATTTCTCTTACGTATATAAGTGTGAGTAGGTCAGTTCTCGCATATCTCGCCTTTAACTGTTCTAAACATTCGTCATAAGTTGTTGGAGAAAAACTCTCGATCAATTCACGAACCTCCGAGTTTTCTTTTGCCGACTGTACCAAATATTGGTATTTATCAATTTTGTCCATTGTTGGGTCACTATCAATTTTACTAAATTGACCCCAAAAAGGCAACCAGTTTTTTAACTCGCCATCAAAAATATGTAATTGTAATCTTGGCAGTTTTAGATTTCTGGCTTGTTGATTTAATTCTTTATCTATAATATCTGCTTTTTCTGCAACTTTAGATATATCGTTAAATTTTTTCTTAATACGCAGCCATTTTTCTTTATAGGTGTCAACTGATATAAGTTCTTCCTCTAAATCGTTTTCGTCAAATTCTTTACTTAAAATCAAGTTTTTTATTTCATTGTCTAATTTAAAAAGATTTTCCGTACGATCGCTTAGCTTTGTATAGCACACGTCTAAATCTACGGTTACCTTCTGGTCTAGCAATGTTTCGAAACTATTTGTGGTATTGGTAAAAAGTCTTCTCAACACAGTTCGTTCCTTTTTCTTATTTTGCAAATCCATTTTTATTACTAATAAATGCCTACGGTCGCCACAATGTTAAATTTAAAGGGACGCTGAATGTTGAAATATTAGAAAAAAACCACCATTTCTTTCGAACTGACATCAAAGAAGAAGAAAACGTCAGAAATTTATTTTTCTATAATCCTCTTAAAAAGTTTTATACTAATTCACAACAGTCACATTCAACTTATACTACATTTTGGTGATAGTTCCATCTTGGTACAAGAACTTCTTTTTCGTAGTCCATTTTGACCATTGTTCTTTATTTATTCACTTGACATCTTGACATTGGCAGAATTGTAAGAAATGCGCAGATAAGCCATTATAAAAAAAAAGAACATTATTTGACACTGACGTATAATAAATGACATTGACATGACATCTACGAATTGTTGTGATTTCGTGGAAGTGTTTGCGTTGGTATGATATCAAAATAAAATATACCCTAATTGTTATGGATACTAATTCATTACTGTTGTTAGTCTTAAACAGGTTACATGTAGTTGTCTCAGTCAGTCAGCTTATAAACCCGATCAGTGTTACAATTTAAAGAGAGTGGTGCAATATTGTTTAGTGTACTGTAACTTAGGTTTTGCAAAATTTCTTAACCGAAACAAATTATTAGAGCGGTCCAATGTTTATATTTGTCGTCAGTGGATTACAGTAAACTTTATAGACACGACTAACGTCCGACCATCTCACTATTGTTAATAATCGGTTTTTAGTTACTTCAAGATGCGTGTTAACTATAAAAGATTGACAGTAGCGGGTGCAATCCTCGTGATAACTTATGTTTTGTTAACCTATTCCTCTGTTATGGATGTGCCTGGAGCAAGTCCTAGAAATAATGTCAAAATTCTATCAAATAGACTAAACAATCTTCAAAAACAAATGGATGAGCAAATGACTAATAGTAATAAGTTATTGCAACAAGTAAAACAACATTTAAACTTGAAATCTAAAAAACGGCAAGATGAAGAATTTGTACAAGAGAATGAATTAGATTCTCCAAGTAAGTGAAGCCACATTTTCTTATATTATATTGCTTAAATCTTGAAAACACTCTTAACATTTAAAACTTTAAAATATTGACAGAAAGACAATGTAAAAATAGTAACAATTTACAATAAATTTCTGAAAAATCAGGGAAGGTAAAGATGGTTAGGGATAGTCAGGGAAAAATATAAATCTTTCCCTTTTTTTTCTTTTTTTTCTCTTAATCCCATCTCAGAGTAACAGGGACAAAATGGATTTTTTAAGCATACTTCATTATAAATATTTTCCAGTATAGCATTGTGAATGCAAAATTTAACAAATAAAATATATACCAATCTTTGTTAAATTTTTATTATTACTATGATTTTAGAGCTCTCTAATTGATCATGAATGTTTCTATATCAAGCGTTCGTAATTTTTATTTAAAAATATAGAATTCAAACTATATATTCGGCCTGTCTTATAATTTGGAGTGCAACAGTCTTCTTTAAGCAAATATATATTAGAAATCTATTACTGTGATATTAAGTGCCATCTTAATATTTATTTTGAATGGCAGTCCAGTCAAGGCTTGCGATTGCTTTTAATTTTCTTCAACAACAATGCAACATGCAATTTGATAAGACCTGGTAAAAATGATACTCTTTTCTTAGTTTATTATCAAGATGACTGATCTGCTTATGAGCAGCTTTGTTCATGCAATTACGTTTAGAGAATGACAGTCTACACTGTGTTTTCTATGTCTGGTGTTTTGCATCTTTTCAGGTTTTTGACACTTTCTGGCATCAACAGCTATATAGTCTGTGTATTTGGATGATGATCTAATCTATTTTTATATTTCTTTAGAATCATCTCGACAATTTCTTCCTTGATGTTGCTTGGGTTATCAGCAAACTGCGTAGATGCATTGAAAATCTGTTTAAAGATATCATTTTGGGCTCTTCGAATTTTGTTGATGTTGGTGTGATAGATTCGCATTCCCAAAAGTCTTCTGAATTACGGATGTTTTAAGGATAACGTTATATAAGACTAACATATTGTCTTATGATAACTTTCAGTTCCTTCGGGGCAACCAGTACATCTCTTGATATTTGAGATTTAGATGTCTCTCTTTGATTAAATATGTTTGGACCATGTAAGATGACGATCCAGGTGCATACCCAGATATTTAACTAAGTCACAGGAAGGCAATATGTTTGAACCCAGCCTTTCTCTTAAGCAATCATTCTTTCGAATGTAATGTATATCGAATTTGATGGGCTGGATTTGATCTTCCAGTTTTGAGCCACAAATCAATTTTCGTAGGGCTTCTTTGTACACAGTATTAAAGCTTGCACTTCACTTGAACTGAATGCCAAAATAGCAGTATAATCTGTGAAAGTAGCCAAGATTATTCTCACAGTCTCCGGTAAATAATGGGCCCATTTATTATTTTGCTAGCATATTAGACCCTTTGGTGTATTTGGACATATCCCATGCCCTATTTTGAATTTGAATAAATGTGTTTGGTGCGTCTTTGACATCATCACCAGTTTTAAGTTTAATTTGGAAATCTAGTTCATTCTCTTTGATCATTAAACGATTGTCTTCGTAAGTAACGACGCGAAGGTTGTCCATTGCTGCTGAGGAGACATGATACCAGGAGGATAGTCTTCACCGACAGGAAAATTTTTACTGTCTAAGAAAAGTTCAACCGACAAAACAATAAAGTGTATGCTAAAAGTAGCAAGGATGTCACAGCTTCTGCACAGAATGTCTCGCGCACTTATCATCTGACTAGTGTGATGGTATGGTGGGTAGTTTCGTATGAAATTGTCACTCCGCTCCATTTCTGCCAACAATGTGTCAAGGTTAAAGCCAAGAATTATTACAGTGACATTTTAGAGCCTGTGGTGAAACCCCTGTCTGTGTATTTTGAATTTGAATAAATGTGTTTGATGCATCTTTGATATCATCACCAGTTTTAAGTTTAATTTGGAAATCTAGTTCATTCTCTTTGATTTTCTGCTATTGATACCAATGAGTGCCTTTGTTGTATAGTTTGGGGGACTTGTGTTTTCCAGTATGGTAATACTAATTGTTAATATAACAGGAATATGATTCGTAGTTTGTCCAGGCACAATTCTATTTAGGCTGAAAAAGGCTTTTGTAACAAATAAATCCAGAAGGTCAGGAAGCTTATTTGAGTGTGTGGCCCAGTGCTTTGGTTGAGATTGGCATAAGACTATTTTTGTCAATACTTTTTTGAAAGTCGCTCATTCGTTTTCCGACCCCTAATGAATGTTTATTAAATTCCATTCTCCACTGGCGATAAATCTATTTCCCTGTGATCTCAGAAACGTACTGAACTGGCCTTTATTTATCTTGGGTTATGGTGGAAAATAAACAGAGAAGGCCTAAAGCTCCTTACTGAATTGCCTTTTGATATTTTCCAGTCTACTAAAGCAGCAAAAAAAATCTTATAATTAGATTAATTATGGGTTCTAATTACTTTTATATAATTTAAATTAGTTGTCATGTTCTTAATAAGAGCGGGCAAGTTAAAACGTCAATGAAAACAGATGTCTATATTTAATTAACATACATTCTTGTAGCTGATCGCTTGCATATAGGATTACAAATACACCCATTCATTTATCATAACAATTGATAGCACCAATGTTTTATATTCCATATGCCTTTCATATGTAAAGATAAAAAGGTGGGTGGATGATTTTTATTTCTAGTCATCAAAATTGAAAGCGAGTTTCCTAAGCTGCTGCATTGAAATTCTTTCTGTTCGGCACTTATTATAATCCCGTTTATTATTATAATGCTATTTGTCTGTGACCAAGCTGTATCTCATAAACCATGATAGTTGAAAACTTCACAGATGATGTATTTCTGTTGCCGCTATAACAACAAATACTAAAAAACAATAAAACGTAATTTTTTCGGTCGATTCCCTTCGAACGCGAGTTCCATTCGCACTAGGTCGGATTTTTACATGTCAATGTTAACTACTAGGGCATGCAGTCTCAACATTAATAGTAATCGTTAAAAGGAGGCGTAAACCTAAAACCGGTCCCTGTCTAACGTAATTTAACGGTCCCTAACTGTAAGTCAATGCATGTAAATGCATACAAGTAAACGCATGTTTTTTTGTCATTTACCTACCGAGTTTCATTTTGACGTTTTTCAATTGTGATATTAGTAGCTAGTTTCTTATCGATCAAAGACAGTTCGCTATTTAAGAGAGCGCTTACACAAAAAATCACTAACATTAAATTGGTTTTATTATAAAAAAATAACGTCCTTATAGGCTATACTTAAAAATAAGAAATTGCATTGTATTTCTAAGGTTTGTGTCACTGCCAAAATATGAATCTATAACATTTTCATGATAGGAAACAATCTAAGTTACAAAAAAATATGTACATATATACAATATACAAATAAATAATTTACAAATTCGGAATTTTTTTTTTGTTTCTTATTGTAGTTATACCCTTTTTATAAGGAAAAATTAGTTATTAGAAAATTATAGTTATTAGAAAATTTAGATCGTTCTATTTATTTAGTATCTATAGAAGTCAATTTTATTGCTATCTGCATAAAATTGACCTGAAGATAAACTCAGATAAGAATCTTATATAATAGAAACGGGATAGAATAGGACTAAACCCTACACTTGTAAAAAACGAAACATTCATAGGAACATTCAGTTGTCTTTGTCTGTCTATCTGTCTGTCTTTCACAGTTCTTCGAAACTACAGGACCGATTGGTTTGAAAAAAAGATATCAAAAATAAAATCGAGTATTATATATAATATTTAAAAAAAGAACTTTATGGAGTTTTCTTTCGTGTACTTACTTTCGTGTACTTTTAATTAGAAACATGGAACTACTTTCATGAGCATATTGTATCTATAGTCGACTAAATTTAATTAGTTAAAGATAAGATGCACCCCAACACCAAACGTGTGTGCATAACATTATATTCAAAAAGCGTAAACATCCAATATACATTGAACTACATATATATCAAATAGCATTATACACAACGCAGAAAGCATATAGCTTCAATACATACATATACAAATATTGAAATGGTTAAATTACGTCAAAGCATTCTTGTAGACTTGCTAAAAAAATCCACACTTTCTTTACAAAAGGTGTTCATTAATTTATTAGCTGTTGGAAAGGGATTCGAGAACACACCGAACCTGAAATTTGAAGGCGAAATACTTGGGTGTAAATCTAATTCAGTTTTGAGTTTCATTATAAAGACGACACATTCGACGATGGGGTTAAAGTAAGAAGTGTTATTTTTATTAGCGTGTAATGAAAGTGAAGTGTAATGAAATAAGAACTGCTAATAACTAATTGTTATTCAAATTCTCGTCTATTGGTTAAAAATTTTCTGCTAAACCCTTTTCTCAAGTAATTATTTCTCTCGGCTTTAGATACAAGAGTCAATGTAAATTGCACGCCATTACGAAAGTATTTTCACATGTGCCGAAATTAGATTCATGACTCTTGTAATTTTGACTTCATACTTTAAAGACCTTAGATTTCTTATAGATTTTATAGTAATTTACATATATTGGAACAGATATCACAAATATTGGAACTAATTACAGTTTTTTTTTATACTAAATCATTCGAGTAGTTTCCGCAAACTTTTGAAATAAGGACAGTTTTGTAGTTAGTAAATGTTCGATCATAGTCGGAAATTATAAGTCTACTCTGCTTAAATGAAGATTCACCACGAATGCGAATTATATACTGTTTTTTGCAACTATAGCGCATATATTGTACAGTCATTACACCACCCGACATTACATATCTCTCACTAATACGTTAACATATTGCTATTGACCCACAGATCTGGCCAATTTTGTCACAGTAAAGTTACACTAATAGATGTACGATATCTATCAGTTCAGTAGGCACAAAGGTCAACGTACGAAATTCACAGTAACACGTCAAGACTTCATGTAGAAATATGAAAACACCTTTTTACATGCTCTTGTTAATTTTCAGATAACCTCGTCCTGCCGGTTCTGTTAATAGCTTGTGACCGAGTCACTGTTAAGAGATGTCTCGATAATTTAGTTAAATTTCGACCGAACAAGGAGACTTTCCCTATAGTGGTGAGCCAGGTAAGTTTCTAATGTTTTTATTAGAGTTTACCTAAAACGGTACTTTATAAGATCGCCCGGTTATAAGTATGTATATCTATATACTATCCGCGTAATATATACTAATCTGTCACAGGTCTTCATCTACTGGACCGCTTGAATTGGAATTTGGAACTATGTGTTTCAAATGTAAATCTGTAAACTAAAAATCTCCCTATACGGTTTGATTCAATTCCATCCACAGAGAAAACCTGAGCCTCAGCAGCGGGGATGTTAATAGGCTGGTGATGATGATAACCCAAATCAAATCTGTGAAATGCAAATGATTAAAAATGCCGCTTAAGATTGTTCGAGTTATCTTAATTCGAGTTTATCTACTTACTTATTTTATCCATAAATTGTAATCAATACCTTATCGCAATCCTTCCGGCCGGTCAAGAGTAGGTACTAGGTATTTCATGAGTGTAATAACAAAAATAATATATATGGCACTGACTTTGTTACATACAAAAAATACATTTCATAGTACTTTCGTTGTAATGACTGTTTGTTGCCTAAATAAAGAGAAAAAAAATACTATACCAATATGTTGGTATGTATTATGATCTTTAATTCATATTATATAGAAATCAAGATTGGTACTTCTCTGGTTGTGTTCTGTTTATGTTACCGCGTCTTCCCATATTTGAGTTTACATCGCTAGAATTGCTTTAGTTTCTTAATTGGGCAAATTAAATCTAGCATAGAAGTTCAATGAAATATAACCTTTATTATCTTTTGAAGTAGGTAGGTTTTATTTGATTGAATCTCTTTCCTCGAGTTCGTGGCTGATTTTGCTAACTTAGCGAAGTTGCCGCGTAATTAAAGTAATGATTTATCTGTCAGATTGACCGATCAACCGTCGGACTAATCAGGATTGTCAGCTGCTGCTGAGCTATATGTGACGTCGATGTCTAATATCAATTATGTTAATTATTAGTATACATTTTATTGTCCAGGATTGCGGTCACAATGCGACGTATCAAGTGATACGCAGTTTCGCGGACGCCGACCCCACAATAACAGTTGTTCAACAACCTGACCTCTCCGAGATACCTCTGCCAAGAGTCAAGGTCAAGTTCAGAGGGTACTATAAGATAGCTCGTCATTATAAATTTGCATTAAACCATGTCTTCAAAACGCTGGGACATAAAGCTGTGATCATCGTGGAGGGTAATATTATACTCATCATTGCACTATAAATTAATATAATTTATTTGTATGTAGATTTCTTGAATTTCAATTGGGTTTGGAATAAGATCCCTAGTCTTACAGTGGATTCTATATTTTAATTATATATATCAATCTAAGTAATGCTATCTGAATGCCAAATTAAAGAATTCCGTAGTCGTTTTTGTGTGACACAAACATTAAAATCGATGATCCTCAAAGTGGTCTCCATCGACCCCAAGGGTCAACACAACAGTCAATAAGGGGTGTGACAATGGATGCTTGTTTTAGCTAGTAATTTGGTAATATCAGCTGTATAGGTTGAGAAAATCAGAAGTGGTCTTGAAAACATAAATCTATTTTTTTTATACAGGCCCATTTGGTTAATATATATTACCAGCTGTTTTAATGTAGCCCGTGTAAATTATTGTCTATAGCAACCACGTATTTTGTATCTTCTCGTAGATGAAATAATTTTTATACTCGGATCAGTATTTCAGAAGATTACCCCCTACAAACACATTATAAAATTAGAAACTTTACCTCTTTACAGGCCCGTCTTAAGCACAACACGCGCCCGGGTGCAAGTAGTGCTCTAGCGCCCCCCAGCTCACTTTTTATACATATTTATATTAGATTATCATCGGTGCGGCGCTCCTCAACGCGCGGCAGTCGGGTGTATAGCACCCCCTGCACCAGGGTGAAGACGGGCCTGCCTCTTTATAATATGAGTATAGATGTGTTAGGTTAAAATATTCTTGCGATTTAGGCTTAACGAAAACATTTTCTTTTATTCCATAGATGACTTGGATATATCACAAGATTTCTTCGAGTACTTTCTGGGCACATATCCTCTTTTACTCAAAGATCCAAGTCTGTGGTATGTATAATCTATACATAATATAAAACGTAGTTGCTTCCCGTTAGCTGTACGCTGAGATCTTTTAAACTACACTACGAATTTTAATGCGGTTTTCGATTTATGTCACAGAGTCGTAGTTAATCCGTAATCGTAGTAAATCCGCAATGGGATTGCGTGATGGGTCATGCCTTATTCCCATTCGATTCCATTCCATTCCAGATTCGAAGATCTGTGCCTCAGCAGTAGCGAATTTAATAGGCTGATCATAATGATGGTGATGAATATTAAATAAAAAAAAAAACTCGTGTAAACTGTTAAATAGTCAATTGGTTTATTAAATTTTAATTGAAATATTAAGCACAAACCACTTATGTAAATTGTTACGATACCAAGCTGAGTAAACAAAGCACTCGCTTTATGGAAAATGGAAACATTAAATGTGTCATAACACGCTCTACATTTTCATAAAATACTTAAGCATTGTATTACTGAGGCTATGAGACTACCGCCATAGTCCCTGTCATTCGTTCACTTGATTAAATGGTCAAAGTAAGTAGTAGCTTAACTAAGGCATCAATTTGTGTTCAAGTCTCGTAGGACATTTGAGTGGATATCCTATAATTAAAAAAACAACATGTTTCAATAATACTTGTTATGTTTAAGAATCTATAGCCTCATATAAGTTGCATTGCAAGAATACTATTTACTAATTTACAATGTTTTGTGACCAAAATATAAAAAAACCTTAGGTTAACATCACAATATCCGCCCCTGAAGCCACTGACGATAGCCACATCGCTGCTGAAAACTATAGCAAATTCCAGTACAATATAATTATCATATTTTTACTGCTTAAATTTAAGATTGGGTATATTTAACTAATGAAGAACTTTCGTCGTTTTATTCAGGTGTATATCAGCTTGGAACGACAACGGCAAAAAAGATGTAATTGACTTATCCCATCCCGAACTACTTCACCGCACCGATTTCTTTCCTGGTTTAGGTTGGACTCTACGAAAGAATACTTGGTTAGATCTCGAGCCAAAATGGCCTGAAGCGTGAGTACACTTCGTGTGAATCAGAATGTCGCCTTGTAATCATAATATGAACTATTCAAAGAGTTATAATGCTACTGATTTGACGAAAGACTACTAAAAACATCCATTTTATCAAATCAATTTGGTAAGAGTAATATTAGCAAACAACACCTTCCGCAGCACATGGCTTTTAAAAGTATACAATTTTTCTAGATTTTTCGATGATTGGCTCCGCGATCCTGAGAATACCAAAGGTAGAGCATGCATCAGACCAGAGGTTTCGAGAACATTCACATTTGGAAAGGTGAGAAAAAAATAGGTTAATGTATTCTAAGAATTATTTGGTACTCTTTCTGGTAATCAGAATCAATTTTTGATAAAACCATCAAACTGATAAAAAAATGTAAACCTGGCAAAATCCAAAACAACTATTCCAAATATAAAAAATAGGAAATTTTAATAAGAACAATAAAATCTAGCAGTGTTATTACAAAAACGATAAGCACGAGTTGAACACGTGTTTAAATATTATACTATTGCAAAATCATATTTAAGCATTTGTTAAGGTTAAACATCCCTTAAACATTGTTTAAAATATAAACACTTGTTGAGGGTTGTTTAACGTGTGTCTAACCTCAAACTAAGTTGCGTTTTGTTGAAAATTCACCCATATTCATAAAAATCGATACGGAGCTTAAAGATAAAATGGTTGGTTTAGATTACATAGAAAGCTCTCGGGACTCGTTATTAAACCTAACGCGAATTATGCGAATTAAAAAATATTTTTAGATATTTATAAAGGTTTATTTTGCAGATAGGCGTGAGCAAAGGACTGTTTTACGATATGCACCTTAAAGCAATGCAACTGAACATGGAGTACGTTGAGTTCACTAAATTGGACCTTAGTTACCTTCTTAAGGTGAGAAAATAATATTTATTCATTAGATTCTAGTGCACTTTTTTGTTGAAATAATAAAAAAAATGAACATCCATGTATCAAAGAGGGCGATCGCTTGACTCGGGCCTACGATACAGTCAAGGGAATATAAAGAGCAATTCCCTCAAACGTTCCTATTGATCGATTGATATATTACTATTTGTGTTTAGGACAATTACGATGTCGAATTGGAGTCTAAAGTAGATTCACTGCCTGAGATGACAGCTGAGGAAGTAATCACTTCTTCAACTATTGGTGAACTGTCACCAGTACGAGTTACGTACTCTAACGCCAAAACTTATCAGAAGGCCGCAAAAAAACTCGGCCTCATGGACGACTTTAGGGTGAGTGCTAAATATATGTAAGATTTAAAAAAATTACATAAAAATAATCAAGCAATTCCATGAAATATGTTTAGCCGAGTTACCTATGGCCTAATTGTCTAATTTCAAAATCGATAGCAATCCCTTTCAGACGTATAAGTATTTTAATAGCGATTCATGGAAACATCTAAAGTTTACAATCGCAATCACTTTCGAAATGAATGATGATTTGAATGATCAACAGTGGTCAGAATTAGGTAGAGTTATTCATGTACTTACACTGATTTCATACAGCGAAAGAATAAAGTGGATATGCCTCAAATCCCGAGATTAATTTTAAAGAGCAGAAAAAAATCCCGTGATTTTTTTAAATAAAAAGTTATTTACTTTTACGCAATTTAAACTACTGCACGCACGACGTTGCCAAACTTACATCAATGACATCGGATGTCCAAAGATGTCCAAGATTGTCCATTAGAAATCCCGGGAAGGTCCACATTAATATCACCATTTCGATGCAAGTACATAAATAACTCTACCTAATTCCGACCTCTGATGATCAAGAAACACTATAAAAACTTAAAGTAATATTTTGCGTCTAACGCTTGCCTTAGACAATTTAACGATATAATTCAAATGTTTTTCATAAAATCGTCACGATCGCAATCGCTATCATATGTCAAACAATTGTAGCGTGAAGTTCGTGAATATATGTCAAATATAAAATTGAAAGGTATTGCGATTTATTTTAAAATAAAACAATTCCCGATTGAACAATTAGCCGATTAGTCCGAGCCTTAATTCAACTAATGTCAGTTAAATTATAGCGAATCAATGGCATTTCAATCACAACTGTTTGTGCACCATTTTTGTTACTAGTCACCGTTATGTATTTGTAAGATATTATAATAATAATAATGGGATCCAGGTAGATAATTTAATCGCAAATTGCAATTAATTGAGACGCCATTGAGATGCCATTACATCCCTTACATCAGCAGAATTGAGCCTCTGATACGTTATAATGTGCCGTAAATATCATTATAATATCATCAGAAACAAAAACTATTATATAGAGATCAGTACAATAATTACATAGGTATAATAATGTATTGAAAATATGTTATGAATGTATTATGATGTCTAAACGTATTTTTCTACAAACATCAGTCTTAAATTTTTTTAGTCTCAATAAAATAACACACACAAAAAATATTTCTACACCAAGAAAGATTTCTCACTTAAAAATAAAAAAACTAATATAACTTTTCAGAGTGGTGTACCTCGCACAGCTTACAAGGGTATAGTGTCTTGCTTCGTGCGAGGGAGACGGGTGTATCTTGCCCCCTCGTTCCCTTGGACCAAATACGATCCCAATTGGGGCTAGTCGATTAATTTTATAATCCCGGTTGGGGTTAAAACGGGTATTGACTAAATATTTCCGGGACCAAGTATGAACTTGGTTTTGTGTGTGTAAATATTTAAAATAGATAGAAAGATCGACATTTTCCGTCACATCTCAAGGTTGTTAATTGATGTCACCCACTAAACAACCAAAAGGTTAAATAAATATTATATTAATAAGACCTGTATCAAAATTTTACATTGGTTTAATTGGTTACTGTTTTGATTTTTCAGTGTCATAATTGTATACTAGTGTTATTTTAACAGCTATACTATAGTCCATTAATAGTATCGAAATCTCAACAATTAGTCAAACTAGCAGAACCATCAGGCTAAAAAAATCTTATCGCATGTCTTCATGCCGTGTTATAAAAATATCTATAGTATTAACTACAAAACAACACTATTAATACATTTATTTGCTCTATTTTTAACAGCAATGTTATAATCTTATATTGATGAAAACATTGTGACCCCCTTAGGGGTCGCTATCTCCAGGTTGAGAAGCGATATTTTGAGTTGTGTGATAAAAGTGTTAAGTGAAATCTAATGATCCAAGTTGGTGTGAATCTTTTAGCCAACATCTCGGGTTGTAGATTTGTCTGTTTCTGTTGATTTTTTTTATGGTAAAATGACTTAAAGGCTCATTACCATTGGTCGGTAAATTACTCGATATACCATGCGCCCTGAATGTCGCGTACAAATTGATCGAATGAACCATACACATACATTAAATAACAAACCTTATTTCCATACTTATAAGCACCAATAAAAGACTTCAAGCGGTAACGGATTGGCTTCGAATGGTTTTCCTTTTCATCATAGCAGTTACAAAAACAACAAACTACAAAAATGTCTCATAAAATTAATAAACGACATTGTTTTTTCGTTCGTTCACCGTGAACTAGTAGTGTTGCGTTATACTAGCTAAATTTGATACTAGGTATATATATACCTTATATTATATAATACTCGACCCAATCACTTAATCCACCTAGTATTTTTTAGTTATTCCAGTTGCCTAACTAGAAAAACTTTACTTCGTTGTGTTAAACCGAATATTATGATATAGAGAAAAATACTAAGTGGGAATGACACGTACATGCAAATATGGTTTCTAATGTTTTTAGTATAGGGCCGAAAGTCGAGCGATTTAAAGAAATACTTCGTGGATCAAATAATTAGTAGCATCACGTAATAGGTGGTTAAGTTAGATTGCTAACTAGTCAATCTACTGGTATTAAAGACAACATGATTTTTGTATACTTGCGTCTAACTAATTATGAAATATGACATTGCGATTAGAAATAAAATCTTAAATTGTGAAATGAAGAAAAATAAAAGATGAGCATGACACGTGCACTCAATTATGACCTGTAACTCTTACTGGTGAAAATCGTATAACTTCTAGAAATACTAGGTGGATAAGGTATTTAGAAAATTATAAAGGTACTGTTTAGTATTGTAAAATACTTATAGTTGGTTGGTTAGTACCTGTTGTAGTATATTCGCCTCACTTCTATAAACTAGTTTAAAAAACTGTTTTTTTTTGACATGTTTTTGTCGTAGACGAGCTAAACGGAACAAGAAATTTTGTCGAAGTTACTAGTTTATTTGACGTAGTTCATAATATGGTTTTCAGAATAAACTGTTTAGACAACTTTGTTGTCGTCAACCGACAACGGTTCAGTTAATTTGTGGACGATGAAAATGAACTTCCTTTCATAATTTTTAATGCTTATTATTGTTAAAGTTCAGAATTGTTTATTTACAAATGCCTACAAATTGAGATAGTTATTTAGCTTTATAATAACACCATCGAAGAAAAAAATGGGCTGCTAACTGCATAATTTAACCTTGACTGACGCCATTTGCATTAGAATCATGTATTAGAAAACTGATTTGTCATTTACTAAGCGCGCTATCGGTCGCGAAGACAGAGATGAATAACCGTTTTTAGTCGCTTCGCAGTCGGCTCGTGCCGCGTTGGACTATTAAAGCAACGCTTGTAACTAACTTTCACGCATAAACCAGTTTATCTGTAGACTGTAACTAGTTTATCGTTCATACAACACCCACGCTTAACCAACACCCAGCTCGGACCATTTCCCTTTCTTCCTTACAAGTTGGTACCTCCACCTAGTAGGTTTAACCACCTTCCCGGTCCTACAACTATAAGTAAAGATACATTATTGAATATACGTTTGAAGTTCATTGGTCGTTCGCTCCACCAATTGGCCACTCCAATTGGTCGTTCGTATGCACCGGAAGGCCGGATGGTGACTAAAAAGTAATTACCGCAAGCGTTAAATTGTCTAGTGAAAATGAACGCGATTGCGTACGCTATGGTTTGCGTTACAAACTAATGAAAATGCGCCTTGAAGTTTTTAGGTCATAACGATTCCATTTAGTGTAATTTTATTAGATAATTATATATATATAAATTGCAAAACAATGCCAAAATTTCAATATATATTTGGTTTTGTCGTAACAACAAATTAAATTAATTAAGAAAAAGCATAAATTGATGACGCCTTATTTATAAATACTCAAATTATATGTACTTTTTATTCAAAAATATAAAATTTAATGGAAGTATATACATATAGAAAGTTTACCTCAGGCAAGATTCGATCTGCTTCTTCATAAATCCCAGGATGCTTGAGTTAAGTTTTTCCTATACATACTAAAGTTTTTTTCCCACTGCATTGTATCGTACCATGACAGTTATGAATGTGGCAGTAGGAAAAAACCCATTATTTTTTGTAGTTTTTTCATAAAAAAGTAATATATTACATTAAAGATATTACAATAAAAAAGTCAGTACTAATACGATGTCAAAAATTGTCCCCAGCATATATACACGCACGCACATGGCAAGACACTCTCCAATTATTTATAGACTATAATTGAACATATCACAGACCAGACGTATAATGAGTTAATGCATGTTTAATGCCTACAGTTATATATAATAGATATGTTTAATAACACGAGGGCTTCGATCGATATCGGAATCAGAGTATTTTTTAGCTCCGGAGTAAGGTTTCGATGCTCCGAATTCAAACCCCGGAGTTTCAAAGTTTCAGTCTCATATAGATTTTCAAATAAATATAAGGTAGAGCATAGGCACTAAACTCGAATCGTCCGTTCTGTTATTTACATAATCTTTAACAGATCTCTTTCACAATTTGTAACTGGAGTTTCTTTTCTGAGACTGATATAAACGCAAATCAATTAAACATGTATACTTACGAATGAAATGTGAACCCCTTGATATTTAGTCAACTTACTAATGTAGTTTCTCCAGTTTCGCATAACACAGGATGGCAATAATTATTATGGTACATAAACGCGGACTGCGCTCAGATATGCTAATTATCATAGTTTTAGGGTGACACTTTTTGAATGCAAGTAAATTCTACCTTTTTTTATTGTAATATTATTTTATTAGTCTTTTTTGGCGTTATGTAATTGTTCTACTAGATGAGTAATAATTTTGATGTGTTTGCCTTTAGAATGGAATCTATTCACAGAGTAGAAATTTATTGATAAATCTAAGAACACACCAAACATAAATATAAGGTGGCATTTTAAATTATACTGTTTAAATGAATTCCAAATAAAAAAAAACTTCGTATTTATATGAATATGTGTGTGTAATAAATAAGTAATGTTAATGTTACCTAACATCTGACTGATTTTTTTAATATACAGATTGATATTTGTTTATAACATCACTATATTATCGGGACTTAGAGTTTGGCTCAAAATTACTGTTTTTGTGTCATATATATTTATAAATGTATTTTAACTACATATGTAGGTAATATGCACGATAGCAATACATGTTTGAATGTTATATCTATACTAGATACACTCTTGTTTGAAATAAATCAACGTCCAATATATAGGGTTGCTTGTCGATTATATTGTCTCTAAGTGTAATTTAATTCTGGTTAAGAATGGCTAAAAGATTATGTGATATTTCCAGTGAACTTTACTTTTTCGAATTTATCGTGTGAATTCGTATTAATTCACATTTAAAGTTAGTTTTAAACGTGTAATTGGTTTATAGATAGATTTCAGAAATTTTAATGAAGAATTTTAAAAACAGTTTTGAGATTTAAACAACTTTTGAATAAAAATATATTATTGATATACCTAATACTTGTCATACAATCTAATAGGACATAAAGTTCTCTAAATTCAAATCATTTATAAGTCTTAATGGTATCTTTAGATTTGTATTCGATTCGGGCTTTCAAGTCAGTTCCTACTTCCATTGCATCATAAATTATCTAAAATTGGGTCTCTTTAGTCGTATAAGAATTTCAAAAATAGACGAAATTTCGTTTCAGTAGAAATAGGTCTTCAGACGTCATGTTAATTCATACACGTAGTATGAATCCCTTTTCTCAGTTGAATCTACTAATAGCCCTATTACAAATACTGTTAAGCTAACTACGCGGCCAATTCAAATTGAGCTCGCTCGGCCGGTGCATTGCATTTTGTGGTAATTTCCCACTTTTATTTATCGTTTTTAATGAAATAAAATAATAAATTTGTCCTAGAAAAATATGAAATCGTTACTCCTTATGCAGTAATAATTATTCCGGGTCAAATTTTTGTCGAATACTATTAGATTTTTTCTATATTTAATCAATGAAATTCCAAAATTAGGAACCGCTACGAACTATACGACTATAATATGAGAGAGCAGTCTATATTGTTTTAGTCATTCCTATAGACCAATAGCTCAATCCAGAAAGCTCAAGTGCCATCGCGCATTTTATGAAAAATTTTCCCTACAATTTTGGGTTTCATTAAAAAGGACAGATTACGAAGCCGCTACGAACTATATCAATAATTATTCTATTCAGTAATTCAAAATTAGTAATGTATTTTTCATTTCGTGGTCATGAAAGTCAAAATTGACCATTTTAAGCAAAGATCACAAAGTGTAATAGGGCCCTTAAAAATTATATTAATTCCTATATAATTGCGAACCACATACGTTTTTCTATTAGTTAAAATTATAGTTAATTTTTTTAAATGTACAGTAATATTAAAAATATGTAAATATTTAAGATTCTAAATACGAAGGCTGATCATCAACATGTTATTCTTTTTGGTAAACTATGAGCTTGTATATCATTGGCTGCCATGG